AATTCAACACCCTTAGCCTTATAGGCAGAGATTTGATTTGGTGACCTATTGAGAACCAAGAATCTCTTAAGGGTAGATTCATATTAATCAAGCTCGGGAGACTCAATGATAGATCAGAGGGCCAGTCTACTGACAATGAAAAATGTGACTGTATTTGAGTTTCTTGTGACCAGTGCATTCTCTCCCTGTAGGCAGACCTTTACAGGAATTTAAGTTTTAATCTGAAGTTATTCACTAAATGTGGAAGCAAAAGGAAATAATTGGATGAGTTAAGAAGTGTGTCTGTCACATAGTACGGACTCAGTAAATCTTAGGTGTTATTATTATTACTAATACTCATCTGCCTCAGAGGAGAGAGAAACCATGAATCCCCTAAACGAACATGAAAAGTTCATGTATATACATATGTTCATTTTTCTGGGAGAGAGTCTATATCTTTTATTAAATTATCCAAGTGTTAGTGACCTATAAGAAACGTGAAGAACCATCAGTTCTATATGAAATTCTCCACAGAATCCTGAACACCTTGATGGAGCAAGTAAAATTCGAATTGGCGTGATATTCTCCCAGAGCTAAGGTTGTTACAGTATGTGGCAATTTTGGTTAAGTACAACCTCTGTTTGAGTCACTTTTTAAAAAAAGATTTTATTTATTTATTTGACAGAGAAAGAGATCACAAGTAGTCAGAGAGGCAGTCAGAGAGAGGGGAAGCAGGCTCCCCGCTGAGCAGAGAGCCCGATGCGGGGCTCAATCCCAGGACTCTGAGACCATGACCTGAGCCAAAGGTAGAGGCTTAACCCACTGAGCCACCCAGGTGCCCCTGTTTGAGTCAGTTTTGAGCACATTTTATTTCCCATGATATGTTTCCTATTTTTTTTTAGTACTTTTGCACATTCTATAATTTATTTCCCCATTTAGTTCATTCAGAATCTCCCTTTGGAAATAACCTTTTTTTTTTTTTTTTTTTTAGGTAACATTCCTAACTTTCAGGTTCTTCACCTGGAGTCATCAGTAACAAGCAGTAGTACATATTCTTTTTTGTGCATAAGGTATCACATTGGTCACAGCAAACAGTAATTTGCTAAGAAAAAATCATGGCTATGCATCTAAAAGCTCCACATTCCTGCTGTTCTTTAGATGATCAGTAAATGAGGTGGGGGGGATAGGATTACTTGAATTAGAGAGAAAATTCTGTCTCCTTTTACATTTGCCTTTCGGTCAGAACACCCTTCAAAAGCTCCTTGAATTATATACCTTCTTTGGAGATGTGTATCCAGAATGTAGACCAGGGACACCCAAATTGTCCTCCCCTCTATTCATTCAGCAATATTTATACAGTGTCTTTTATATTATACACACTTTTCTAGGAGTTACACAGCTGAATAAGGATTTGGACTATAGTAGGGGAATGAGACCTATAAATTAAAAATCATAATGCGGGGGTGTCTGGCTGGTTCACTTGGTGGAGCATGCGACTTTTGATAGCAGAGTCATGAGTTTAAGCCCCACGTTGGATGTGGAGCCTACTTAATTAAAGAAAAATTACAATGTAGTGTGCTTTCACAGAGGAATATACAGTGGTATGAGAGCACAGACGGGAAGGCTTCACTCTGTTTCAGAGGACCAGGCAGGGTTTCCAAGAAGGGCTGACACTGGATGGGTGAGTAGGAGCTAAATGAACAAACACAGTGGGAAAGGGGCTTTTGTTTACAGGGAATTGTGTGTGCAAAGGCATCAAGGTGTAAGAGGATTTGTTGGAAGAAGGAAAAAGCAGAGTTTGAGAGGGAAGAAGGAAGAATGACTACAACATAGAAAAGTATTTAAGCAGAAGATAGAAAGAAGGGGAAATTGAGGGAGGTTCTTCCTGAGAACACTCATTTCTTTTTTACAAAGAAGCAAGCTTTGTCGGGGTGCCTGGGTAGCTCAGTCTGTTAAGCATCTGCTTTTGGCTCAGGTCATGATTTCAGGGTCTTGGGATAGAGTCCCACATCGGGTCAGGCTCCCTTCTCCGTGGGGAGTCTGCTTCTCCCTCTGCCTGCCCTGCCCCTCTCTTGCAAAAATAAATAAAATCTTAAAAAAAGAAAATGGTGGAAAAAAAAAGAAAGAAAGAAAAAGGTGGGGGACACCTGGGTAGCTCAGTCATTGGGTGCCTGCCTTCAGCTCAGGTCGTGATCCCAGGGTCCTGGGATTGAGTCCCATGTCAGGCTCCCTGCTCAGCAGGAGGCCTGCTGCTCCCTCTTCCACTCCCCCTACTTGTGTTCCCTCTCTTGCTGTCTCTCTCTGTCAAATAAATAAATAAAATCTTAAAAAAAAAAAAAGGCAAGTTTTGTCATCCAAGATAAAGGGACAAGAATGGAAAGGGGGGCTTAAGGAGACTAACCAAGATCATAGAAGAGAATTACAAAGCAGTACTGAGAGACCATCTGTGAGAAGCAGTAACATAGCTGTTGAAACTTCTCTTCACCATGTAGCTTCTTGTCTCCTCTTGATAGAAATTTCTAATTGGTCTACCTTCTGTGGCAGCACCAATCTTTCTACAGTTCAATATTTTCCTTGATATTTTTGTAACTTCCATATCTTATCTTCAAAAATATTTTTGAGCACGCACTATGTAGCTGGTTGCTCCAATGTTAAATACAGTGTTGTCTGCCCTTAAAGAGCGTAGTGACAGGTAATAGAAGAGAGATTGAAGGGAAATATAAAAGGTGCATAATAATAGCACTAAAGGCACAGTATAAAAGTGCATTAAGGAAATGTAAGTAATGTAAGTATAGTATTTGCAAGTTCAGAGTCCTAGCCCTGTTTGATATCATCAGGACCCATCTGTATAGAACCACAGGATTCTTTTAAGACCTTGAATAGGATCACCTGGAAAATTTAGAGCCATTCCATTAAGAGTGACGTTGATCTGAAAGCATTACATAGACAACTCAAATTTAGCTATTTCATCCAACTGAGTTCACATTATTGTTTTACTACCCCTTCAGGTGCCTGCAAAAAGCAAACTAGCCTTCTGACTTCTTTTTTTAAAACTTTTATTTATATTCCACTTAATTAACTTTCTGGGTAATATTAGTTTCTGCTGTACAATTTAGTGATTCAACACGTCCATGCATCGCCCAGTGCTCATCACAGGTGCCCTCCTTAATCCCCATCACCTATTTAAGCCGTTCCCCACCTCTCCCCTCTGGTAACCATCAGTTTGTTCTCTATAGTTAAGAGTCTGTTTCTTGGTTTGCCTCTCGTTTTTCCTGCTATGATCATTTGTTTTATTTCTTAAATTCCACATATGAGTGAAGTCATCCAGTAATTGTTTTTCTCTGACTGACTTATTTCACTCAGCATAATACTCTCTAGCTCCGTCCATGTCATTGCAAATGGTGCTATTATGTATTTCCCAATGGACACAAAAACACTAATTCGAAGGGATTCGTGCACCCCGAGGTTTATAGCAGCATTATCAACAATAGCCAAGTTATGGAAAGAGGGCAAATGTCCATCAACGAATGAATGGATAAAGACGTGGTATATAGCCTTCTAACTTCTTAACTGCTGTCCCTCTCAATGGCCTGGCTACTACTTTCTTGATGGTAGTTCACTCCAAAACCAACTTTCTGTGTCTGTTTCAACATTGGACCTACTGAATTTTAACCAGTCCTATCCAGCCCCAGCCAAGGATCTTCTGGTCCTAACTCCTGAGCCATTTAAACAAGCAGCAGTTTATAAGCAAATTCCTGCTGTATCAGCTGACTCCTTCACCAGAGAACTTCTTATTCACCAAGAAGCTCTCATCCCCACCACCCTGCTACCTACTCAACCTCCTGCCAGTCAGCTACATCCTTATTACACCATGCCTCATGCTTAGAGTAACCAGAATCCTGAGCACGCTCATGAATCAAGCAGAATTTAAACTGACTTGTAACCATATTCTCCCAGAGCTGAAGTTATTAGGCTATGTCACAGTTTATTTTGATAAAGTATAACCTGTTAGTCTATATTTAGTTCCCCTTATTGATGATTTCAAAGCCTAGGTTTTCTTCTGCATCAACTGGGATGAGTATGTGGGAGTCTTTTCCTTTCATTCTTTTGATCTGGTATGTTACACTGATGATTTTCCTATGTTGATCCACTCTTGCATTTTTTAAATAAATCCTCCTTGGTCATGATGTATAATCCTTTTAATATGCTTCCAGATTTGGTTTGTTGGCATTTTGTTGATGATTTAAAGCACCTGGGCTTTTTTTTAAAGGGTTCACAATTAGGGCTATTAAGGACCCTTCACTTCTTGCCAAGTGAGTGTTAGTACCCTAGTGTGTATATATCTCAAGATGAGTGTCATAACTATGCAATCATAATATATTTTTAAAATTCACACATAGTCAAACCTTATCTCTTCTGTATCCTCTTTTAGAAGAATAAACTTTGAGCATCAGTGATAAAGACAAAGACATTTCCAAGATTATTCTCACTGCAAATTCATAATGAGTGCAGCATTGAAGGCTTCCAACATACAGTTAATGAACAAGAAGGAGGTTTTCAGTCTGCTCTCAGTTGTATCATGACCCCATAGGGATAACTGGGCATTTCTTATTCATTAGACTAAAATAGTGTTTGGCATATAGTAGGCCATTAGTAAAGATTTCTGATAAATGTATGAATGAATAAATAAATTTGGTCTTGGTATTTTGTAAAGAAGAAAAATTGCTTACCCCCAAGAATTATCCTAAGACAGTGAATAACATAGTATTTGTGTTTTTTTCCTTTTAAAAAAGCAATCAAATTGTGAACTTTACATCAGGAGCCTGAATGGGATGGCAAGCGGGTATATAACAGCTCCATACCATACCCCACTCCATAGTTAATGAATGAGCCCCTGCTTCCTTAGAACACACACCTACCCCATCTCCTGCTGTGATCCAGAGAAAATTTGCCTTATAATTGCAGATTTTACTGTATATAGTCCCTATGATGAAACCTGAAAAAGTGTTTTATTATTTTAGTTTTCAGGCAGACCCCAAAAAACCCATTGGGGGACACATCCTGGCTCATGCTTCAACAACAAGAATAAGCTTGAGAAAAGGAAGAGGAGAACTGAGAATTGCAAAGATTTATGACAGGTAAATATTTTCTTATTTTTAATCAGATTCTTGGGCATATGGCATTAAGTAGAATTGCCTCTCCTCAGAAGCTTTAATTTTTTTTAAGGATTTTATTTTTTTTATTTGACAGAGAGAGAGAGATCACAAGTAGGCTGCGAGGCAGGGAGAGAGAGAGAGGGAGAAGCAGACTGCCTGCTGAGCAGAGACCCCAGTGCAGGTCTCAATCCCAGACCCGATCCCAGACCTGATCCCAGACCCTGAGATCATGACCTATGCTAAAGGCAGAGGCTTAACCCACTGAGCCACCCATGCGCCCCATGAGAGGCTTTAATTATACCACTGGCAGATCCTACATGTTTGAATTTCCTTCTCAAAAAGTATTTACTCTGGGTCACCTGGGTGGCTCAGTTGGTTAAGCAACTGCCTTAGGCTTAGGTCATGATCCTGGAGTCATGGGATTGAGTCCCGTATAGGGCTCCCAGGGAGTCTGCTTCTCCCTTTGATCCTCTCCCCTCTCCTGTGCTCCCTCTCTCTTTCTCTCTCTCAGATAAATAAATAAAACCTTTAAAAAATAAAAAAGTATTCACTCCATTGGGAAGTCCCTACTACGGACTAGGTTATAGGGATTAAGGGATTCTGTTGATGAATAGACTTGGTGACCTTCCAAAGCTTACAGTGAAGCTAGATAGCCAAAGAATGATTCCAACTGAGGTTTGGTCAGTGCAGGGAAAGTAGAGTATGACAGAGAAATATTCTTCTCCTTTCCTCTGCCAGATTTGTTTTTTGGGAGTTTTGTTTTGTTTTGTTTTGTTTTATAGGTTTCAGTTTAAACATCACTTCCACAGAGAACTTGTCCCTAACCCTCCGGTCTAAGCTACACTATATTGTAATTTATATTTTCATGATATTTTACTTATTTAATTAAGAATTATAAACAAGGGGTCGCCTGGGTGGCTCAGTGGATTAAAGCCTCTGCCTTCGGCTCAGGTCATGATCCCAGGGTCCTGGAATCAAGCCCTACATCGATCGGGCTCTCTGCTCAGCAGGGAGTCTGCTTCCTCCCGCTCTCTCTGCCTGCCTCTCTGCCTACTTGTGATCCCTGTCTATCAAAAGAATAAATAAAATCTTAAAAAAAAAAAAGAATTATAAACATGGGGCCCTTGGGTGGCTCAGTGGGTTAAGCAGCTGCTTTCAGCCTGGGTCATGATCCTAGGGTCCTGGGATCCAGCCCCACATTGGGCTCCAGCCCTACATTGGGCTCCCTGCTCAGCAGAGACCCTGTTTCTCCCTTTCCCTCTGTCCACTGCTCTGCCTACTTGTGTGCTCTCTCAATCTCTCTGTCCAATAAATAAGTAAAAATTTTTTTTAAAGAATTATAAACAACAAATTTTTACAAGAGATGTACTATACACCAGCTGTTCTGGGTTCTGGGAATAGAACAATGACTAAAAGAAAAAGACAAGGCCCTCATGGAGCTTATATTCCGCTGGCAATGATTTATATACTGCATGCCATCCATGCTAGACCCCAAATACCCAGAGGACAGGGACCCGATTCTCTTGCTCACTGCTATATTCCCAGTACCTGACACATGATAGATGTACAATATTTGTGATTGACTGATTAGCCAACCCTGATCAACAAGGCAAAGATTTGTGATAACTATACTACAGAGGAAAAATCAACCAAAAATAAATTATATGAGCTCTTAATCTGGTATTTGCTATGAATTGCAGTACTTATTATGGGCTGTCACTGAATAAATATTAAATAATCAGTTCTCCTATCTGACTGTTATTTAGACCATTTTGCTTTTTGTGACCTATCCCTGTAGGCTATAATATACAAATGCTGTATTTTGTGGATTTCAGAAATCTCTAGAAATTTGCTATGAATATGCTTTGTTGAATTCAATAGGTAGTAAGATTGTTCCATCTTTTTACTACAATTTCTTGGTCTGTATCTTAGATTGCTGTGCTTAGAACTTTCCCTGGAGTGCCTGTGTGGCTCAGTTGGTTAAGCGTCTGACTCTTGGTTTCTGCTCAGGTCATGATTTCTGGGTGGGGAGATGGAGCTCGGGCTCAGCTTGGGGTCAGGCTCCCTGCTCAGCAGAGACTCTGCTTTCCCTTTCCCTCTCCCTCTGCCCCTCCCCTCAACTCATGCACACACTCTCTCTGTCTCTCTGAAATAAATAAATAAAATACTTTCCTAAACAGTTTTCATTCTGAATTGCATCAGCTGATTCCATGTAAATCTCCCTCACAGCAGGGACTGAGTCTGATTCACAAATGTCCCCAGCACTAACATGGTACTTGGCACATAGTAGGAACTCAGTAACTATTTGTCGAATTAACAAATGAACACCATCTACATGTGCAGTCATTCGCATATTTTATCAAATCCTCCATATTTGCAGGACCAAGTAACTCCTACAGTTCTTACAGTCTTGAGAGAATACGAGCATTCTGCAGACTCAATAAAGGATGATTAAAGGGATCATAGAGGTTAGAAATTCAAATTTCCAAAAATTTGAATTAAAACAGCAAAAAGTGTCAAAACTTAGTTTGCTGTGCAGCATGTCCTCCCTTCTTTCTGGTTCCTTAAGATTTCCCGCAAAGAATTCTTGACTTTAGAGAAAACTTTTTAGTTGAGAAGTTGATGGTGCTACTTAATGATAGCTAATACATGTTGAGTGGCTGCTGCATACTAGGCCTTCCAGCAAGTACTTTATTTATATACATATATATGTATATATTTATAAAATATATAATTATATAGAATATATTTTATAATTTTATATAAATATAAAATTTATAATTTTCTATCATTTATATAAATCATATCTGTAATTATATGTAACATAATTATATATATATATCATTGTTTATGACAACAACTCTAAGAGGTAGAGGTCATTATCCCTGTTTTCCACATGAGCAAACCAAGGGCTCAAGCAGCTAGGTAGCCACTGTCCCTTTACAGTCTATTTTAAACACAGAAGCCAGAGTGATCCCTTATAAAATTGAGTCAGATGATATCTGTCCTCTGCTTAAAACTCTCCAGTGGCTCCCCATCTTAACTCAGAATAAAAGCTCAAGTCTCTGTAATGGTTTACTTAGCACTACGTGCATGTCCCTATCCTTGTCCCTGCTCTCCCTCTCTCACAGCACTGCGACCTCAGTGGCCATATGATGTTCTATAAATGTGCCAGGCGCAGTTCTACCTTAGGGGCTTTGTACTTGCCTAGAATCATCTTTCCCCACGCGGCCCTCATTCTGGTTATCATTCTCCACCCCTCCAATCTTTGATCAAATAGTACCTTCTCCACTACACCTGTTTAGATCTCCCTATTTAAAATCGCAACTCCTCCCAGTTTCCACACTTCTACTGTCCCTCACCCAGCTCTGTTTTTATCTTTCCCCATAACACTTAACATCTTCAAACATATTACATAATATATATTATGTTCATTATTTATTATCTGATTCTTCTTCTCCCCAGATATAAGTTCCACAAGGACAGGGTTCTTTGTCTGTTTTTTTCACTTCTAGATTTCAAGTACCTACAAAACAGATTTAGCAGGTGCCTAATAAATACTTTCTTAGTGAGCGCATGAATGGCCTTGCCCAAATCACACAATCAATAAAAGATGGAACCAAGATTAGAATCTGTACTGTCTGAATCTAGGGCCAACACTTTTAATCATTACACTATTTCTTAGTTTGTTAAAGATGCTCTGTTTTGGACAGTCATAGCATCTGTTACAGCTAGTCCCATGCCTTCAACTACTAACTTACACAGATGTAAGGGAAAGACAGTTCTCATTCAAAGAAAACACAGAATTCTCGAGGAATAGAACAGAAAAGGGCTATCAGAAGAATTCCCAGATATATAGGAATGACTACGAAAACAGACTAAGCTCTTTCCCTAAAGTGTCACTATAGTTTATAGCTTCCATAAGTAAATATAGCTGGACCCCAGTATGCATTTTTCTCTCTTTAAAAGTTTTTTTGGGGTGCCTGGGTGGCTCAGTGGGTTAAAGCCTCTGCCTTCAGCTTAGGTCATGATCCCGGTGTCCTGGGATCGAGCCCCACATCAGGCTCTCTGCTCAGCAGGGAGCCTGCTTCCTCCTCTCTCTCTGCCTGCCTTGCTGCCTACTTGTGATCTTTGTCAAATAAATAATAAATAAAATATTTTTTAAAAACTTAAAAAAAAGATTTATTTATTTATTTGACAGAGAGGGAGAGCACAAGCAGGGGGAGCAGGAGACAGAGGCAGAGGGAGAAGCAGGGTCTCTGCTGAGCAGGGAGTCTATGCAGCGCTTAATCCCAGGACCCTAGGATCATGACGTGGGCCGAAAGCAGTTGCTTTACTGAATGAGCCACCCAGGTGCCCTGCTCTCTTTAAAACTTTTGAGTGAAGAAAAAAAAAAAAACATTTATTTTATTCCATTTAGCATATTTGAGATTGATGGACATTAAAAACAACTCAGGGCGTCTGGCTAGCTCAGTGGGTTAAGTGGCTGCCTTTGGCTTGGGTCATGATCCCAGGGTCTTGGGATTGAGCCCCGAGTCGGGCTCCTTGCTCAGCAGAGCCCCTGCTTCTCCCTCTCTCTCTGGGATCTCATCCTCCTCGGGCCTTCTTACCCAGCTCTAGTTTTAGTTTAGCAAGCCCGGCCTTATTTATAGCCCATTTGCTATCCTCAGGGGACGCCCCCCTACTATGTCCTAGGGGAAGTAACCTAACCCATAGTGTGCTCAGAATACAGTACCTAATCTCCACCCCTCTAACAAAACAAAACAAAACAAACAAAACCAAAAAACAAAAATCAGCTTTGAGAGGCAGTAGAGTCTGGTGGTTAAGAACATGAGCTTTGGGGACCCTTGGGTGGTCAGTTGGTTAAGTGTTTGCTGTTTGCCTTTGGCTCAGGTCAGGGTCCCAGGGTTCTGGGATCAAGTCCCACATCAGGCTCCTTGCTCAGCAGGAAGCCTGCTTCTCTGTCTGTCTGTCCCTCCCCCTGCTTATGCTCTCTCTTTCTCTGACAAAAATAAATAAATAAATAAAATAAAAATAAATAAATAAATAAATAAAATCTTAAAAAAAGAAGAAGAAGAAGAAGAACATTGAGCTTTGGAGTCAAATAATTTAGTCTCCAATCTGGCACTTTCCTTTACCAGCAATTGTGACTTTGGGTAAATTACTTCTCTCTGAACCATGATTTTTCTCATCTATAAAATGGGGATAATAATGCATACCCAAGAGTTCTCATAAAGTTAAAATACAATCATAAAGAAGACCAACATGTAGTAAATTAGTAAATACTTAATAAATGAAAGCTATTAATGTTACTAAACAGTCACCAAAACCTGAATATAATAATAACATAAAGTAGCAGTAGGTTCTTTCTCTCAGGATCAGTGATTTTCAAATTTTTATTTCTTGTTTAGTCTACTTGAGTTTTAGATATTTGTTTCCAACTGCTTATAGAACTCCTCTACAGGACTATCACACAGGTACTTCAAACACAATATACCTAAACCTAACTTCTTGTTCTTTTTTTCTTTTGTTTTGTTTTGTTTTGTTTTTTTTAGATTTTATTTATTTCTTTGAAAGAGAGAGAGAGAGCACAAGCATGGGGGTTGCAGGGGGAGAGGGAAAAGCAAACTCCCCACTGAGCAGGGAGGCTGATGTGGGCTCTATCCTAGGACCCCAAAATCCCAGGACCCTGAGATCATGACCTGAGCCAGAGGCAGATGCTCAACCAACTGAGCCACCCAAATGCCCCATTCTTCTTTCTTACCTATTAAACAAGTATCTAGTTCTCTGTTTTTGTTCATACTATTCCCTCTGCCTTGAATACCCCCATTTCTGCCTCAAAAAGCCTCTATGAGGCTTTATATTATCTATGAGTCCTTTCCTAATCAACCTTACTGGTATAATCAACCTTTCTTTAGAGTTCTGTAAGATATATATTGACTTTATGAAATTTATCTTACTTTGCATATTTGTCATACGTCATACATAGTTCACCTGTTAGACTTCTTGAGAGCAGGGACTCTGTCCCATTTTTGTGAAATCTGTAGGATCTAGTACCTTCTAATGTATGATTTTCTGAAGTTGAAAAATGACTTTCTTGCAAATAAATACAAAATAAAAGTGTGTCAAAAACTTGATTCAACTCAAGTAATGAAGAATCTTATTCAAAGGATAGTTTGACAGAAATTTGTGTAGTCAATCAGAGGAATGCAGAAATAAATCTGCAGATAGATGAAAAACTGGTTAATATCTTACAAGGCAATCAATTGTAACCTTTGAAGTTGTTTTCTTTACTGGAGGGAAATCAGTTGCTTCTCTACACAGTGAAATTCATTTCCAGTGCTATAGACTAGAATCATCTGCATCACCCACAGACAGGAATCGCCCACATTGCTGTCAGTTTTCCACAAATTAACCTCTATTCCTACGGTGTTGTAGAAAAAAGTAAAAGGTAAAATCTAATAGATCATAGAATCACATACAAATATAAAATGTCAAAGATTTTATTTAATTCATTAATTAATGCAGGAACTAATAAGATTTTTATAACCAGATCAAAGAAAAAATCAAATTAATAGGGACGCCTGGGTGGCTCAGTTGGTTAAGCAGCTGCCTTCGGCTCAGGTCATGATCCCAGCGTCCTGGGATCGAGTCCCACATCGGGCTCCTTGCTCTGCAGGGAGCCTGCTTCTCCCTCTGCCTCTGCCTGCCATTCTGTCTGCCTGTGCTTGCTCTCTCTCCCTCTCTCTCTCTCATAAATAAATAAAATCTTAAAAAAAAAAATCAAATTAATACACATATGGAGCCAAATAAGGAATGCTAAGTGAATTAGACCATTAGATTTTTAATCTAATTAGACCAATTAGAAATTGACCAAAAACCGATCAAAATCCATAGGACAAGAATCAATTGCATTCCTCCTCGTACAATTCACATTTCTAGGGACAAGAATAATTTTGTATTATTCATGGTTGCCTACAACTTGCAGAGTTGTCAAGTAGCTCAAAGACAACAAAAGGCAGAGTCCTTACAAAATAGCAGAACCTGGAAGGATGTGCTGGGCAACCTATTTTCCACTGAAAGTACGTGGCAACCTTTTAGTTCACTTCAAAGTCTTGCACAATTTTGCCCTGCATTAGTCTAGTCGCAGAAATGTGCACCCCCCCCTTTTGACCCAGGCCCTGCCACACTGTGCCTCAGAGTATACCGGAAGAAAACCCAGTTATTCCTTCTGCCTATTTCCAGATTTGGGGTCATTTCTCTTGACATTCGGAACCTTAAAAATGGAAGCTGTTCAATAAGTGTTTGTGAGGCTTGGTAATACTTGTAGGTAAATTCTGTAGTCCACATTTAGCTGTAGCAACTCTGAAATGTCTCTGGAGACTCAGACTGATAGGGGTGTGATGCCTGTGACATGAATATGGTATTTATAGAAATAGAGCTTTTTATAAACTTCTGTTCCCTTGTATTCTGTTAGCCCTGAGATGCCTGAAAATGAAGCCACCTTCACAATAACTGCTGGAGGAATTGGGGATGCCAAGGAGTAGGTGGCACATTGATGCAAATTGCTTCTTAGTGCTTATTAGGAGCTGAAGAAATAGAAAAGCCGTCTGAAATTTCAGAACTTGAAGTAAGAGTTTGTTTTTTTCACATGCTATTAGAGGAAAGTCAACAAAAGAAATTTAAATCTTATAGTTATCCTAAAAGTCCCTGATGTATAATCCCTATACATTGTATATCAATTCAGGAATATATATATGTACACATATATATATTCCTACATGTGTATATATGAATAAAGCTATGGAAAACTAGTTGGGAAGGGGTACCCGATCCCATCACTTTAGCTGTCCAAAGTAAGCCACTAAACAGATAGAAAATCTACAAGCTCAGACATGCCCCATTCTCCCACCATTTTCCCTTGAACACTTACAGAGGTGGACACACTTCCAAAGGAGGGAACCAGTTAAGGAAGGAATGTTTACAGAACACACAAAAAAGCTTTTTTTTAATTTACAACATCAAACTGTACATTCACCTCTATAACAATGGAAAAGAAGTATTAAACTAAGTTTTAATCCATTTGACTTTTTGACGAGTTAAAATTACTTTGAAAAAGCATATTTCTGATACAGACATATTTTATGGGGGATAAAAGAGGAAGCTAACTAGGAACTTTACAGTTTGGGGTAATCAGTATAGCATGAGTTTTATATTTTAAGCTCAGCATAGAGAATTCAAAATATTTTTTTAAAAAATACTAAGGTTAATTTACATGTAAAATTTCTGAACACTAAATTTAGAAATGTGTAAAAGAATATTTTTTTTCTGTTAAAAATAAAATCTGGTTTTCAGAATGAATGTATGATAAAAGTATTTGAAAATTAAAATATGAATAGTATTTATAATGACAATCTTTATAGAGTTCAAAAAGATTTCATCTCTTATGTTGCGTCACCTTGTATGAAACAGCAAGTATTGAAAGTACCATTTGTTACAAAAAGGATTTGATTATCTGTTCTCATTCACTCAGCAATGCTTGGAGCTAAAAAATACACAAGGAAAGTATGGTTCCTGCCCTCAAAGAATATGTACACTGGTTAAGAGAAAATACAATATTTATGAAAGAATGAAAGAGAGCAAATGATTATATAATTAATTTATCTGTAGTGTGGTCTTGGATTATAGGATTCCAAAAATGGGAGAGGAAAGGGTAAGCTGTGAGACAGCTTGTGCAAAGGCAGAGAAGCTGGGATTTGGAAACAGAGACCAGCCTGACAAGCAGAAATTGTTCAGTATGGGGTCCTGGGAAATTAGAGCTTTTTTTTTTTCTTTTTACTTTTTTTATACCACAGAAGCCACTTTCTGAGTAAGCAGAGATATCTAGGAACAGATTTTCTATATTCAGCAAAGTCACTTAAATGACTTTTTTTGGTATACAAATATAAATGTATACTTTTGCCCTGGGGAAGGGAAGATTTTGTTACTTGATAAAAACTGAACAACAGCTAAAGATTCCCTGGTATGCGGAGCACTGGAGGGGAATGGACTAAAGTATGTAGGAGCCCAGAGCCTTTTGGTAGGAAAGGAAATAGAAGTCCCAAGATTTGAGATTCAGAAAAATTTTCTGGATTAAACTGAGTAACCCCCTCACCAGTGAGAATTTACCAAAAGGTAGGAAGTATGTTTGGAAATCAGGGCCTAATCCAAGGGCACGCAGCCCCGCGGTGAGGCTAGTTATAATACAGCATGTAGCTAAAGCTGGAAACCTGTCTGGGTCCAGCTGCTCTGTGTGTCCTGCTTTGGAGAACAGTAGCTGAGAACTGAGGACAGTGAACTAAGAAGCTGTAACCTTGAGGCCCAACTTTAGGAAAGCACAGCAGATTGTGCAGTGCCCATGGAACTCTGCTGGGCCAGGGTTCAATTTGCCGGGGCTTTCCAGTCTGTACAGTTCACCAGACTGCAGACACAGCTCTCACTCCTTATTCTAAGGGGGACAGAAGAGCTCAAAAAAGAGCTTGTATTGGTCAGGACTCTTTTGGTTGCAAGCCATCAAAACTCAAAGTAGCAAATGAAGATAGGAATTCATTGGTTCATGAAACTGAAAAGTCCAGAAGTAGTGCTGACTTTAGCCATAGATGGAGCCAAGATATCAAACAGCATCATCAGGACTTGCTCTCCCTACCTCTTTTTCCTGTTCTGATCATTTCCATGCCGCTGTTGTTCTCAGACAGGCTTTCCCCACATAGTAGCCAAGATGTTGCTTGCGGCTCTAGGCTTACATCCCACTAAGTTAGAAAACCTACTAGAAAAAGCATGCGTTTTTCCTCCATAGAGCCTTCATTCCATGGCAAAAAACAAACAATGACTATCAAGTAAGAACAGAGGTTATTTATTCAGAGTTTGCTACAGCAAGAGAGTCAGTGACCTCTATTTACTTTTCGTAGAGACTCAAAGGCAAGCAGAGGAATGGGAAAGCTTTATGGTAGAAAAAAGGAAAGGGTATAGGTGTGCTCTGATTGGAAGTTGTTGGCATTGGGAAGCTGGAGGATTAATCTGATGGAAACACAGAAAATGGATAAAGGACATAACACTGGCATCAGGGAGACAATTTAGGAAACAGTTATAAAAATTAAATTCTGAGATGGTATAGCCTGGGACTGGAGTAACAGTGAAACAGACATTTCAAAAATGTGGTTCAGTAGGTTAAGTATGGGTGTGAGATTGAATAAAAACAGAAGAAGAGTCACAAGTGACTGTTGACAAAGTTCTCTAACCTATGAGAGGAGATTATATTTCTATCATGATCAGGAATGAGGAAGTGGCAAGTAGAGGTTAGGACTTTTACCTACTTTTACCACAAACCTACTTTTAAGGTTTGTGTATTAGTTTGCTAGGACTGCCATAACCAAATACCATTAACTGAATGGCTTAAACAACAGAATTTTTATTGTCTCACAGTTCTGGAGGCTCTAAGTCCGAGGTCAAGGTTGGTTCCTTCTGAGGTCCATGAGGGAGAATCTGTTCCCTGTCTCTTCCCTAGCTTCTGCTGGTTCTCTGGTGACCTTCAGCATTCCTTGGCTTGTGGAAGAATCACCCTGTTTCTGCCTTCATCTTCACATGACATTCTTACTATGTATATGTCTCTGTGTTCAAATTTCCCCCTTTTATCAGGATACCAGTCATGTTGGATTAGATGCTCACCCTACTCAAGTATGACCTCAATTTAACTAATTATATCTATAATGACCCTTTTCCGAAATAAGGCCACATGCTGAGGTATTAGGGGTTAGGACCTCAATGTATGAATTTTAGTGGGGACAGGGACCCAAGTAGTTAGTAAGAATTAGGTGCAGTCAGGGGTCAAACACTGTTGGCCATAACCTCCTCAGGAACTTCCCAGGGGTTATCTGAAATCAGCCCCCATGGGTGGAGGGCAGGGAGGGACTGAAGAAAGAGGCAGGCCATGCTCTTCGTGGGTGGCCATTTTAGTAAGCAAAGGGAACTTACACACGACGCTTGTCTTGGGCAACAGCAAGACAAGTTCAGATCCCTGCGCCTGCCCACCAAATCTTAAAAGTTCACGGAGAGGCCTTGACTGGCTTCAGTCACGTATACTGTGCAGGTGTTCTCAACACCATACCACTATCTCAAGTCTATCCTTAGAAAAATGGGAACGATAAATGAAACTCATACTCCAAGGAATGGGGTAGGGGCAAGGAACTCTGATCTCCTGAGTCTAGCTTACAGGTCAACAGGCATTCATGACTTCTTGATGACTTCTAACAAACGCCAGGATGCACAAGACACAATCTGTACTCGATACTGGCTACAGAAACATGTAAGTCAAGATCTAGGGAAACCTAGTATCCACTTAGAAAATGAAGAGGTTGAAATAGAATATCTCCACCATTCCTTTGTAACTTTCCTGTTCAATCATTCCTTAAAGAGCAAAGAAAAAAATAAGGCTAGAAAGCCAGATCAGAATAGGGTGGCCAAGCCAAAAACAGGGAATACAGTAGACTAGACAATTGAGAAGGGATGTCTTTCGTGGCAAAAAGAGGGATGGGGACCTTGGACACCAAGCTGTGCCCAGTCAAGTCTTCTTCACCCGACTCTGGCTTGAACGTAGTGAATGTTTCTAATTTTTTGATTGTACAGTTTCCATGTCTCTATTATAATAAGATCCTGGTTTTCTTTTAAAGAGTTGTGTCTCCCCAATTCATGTAGTCTGTCCTGAGACATTGGATACTGAGTGACAGTTGCCGAGGATTAAAACATGGGTTAGAAGCCACTCATTCGTGCAGTGACAGCGGGGTGGCAGGGCCAGCAGCAGTGCGGTGACCTGGCAGTCTGTTCCTGCTGCTAGACTGCAGGTTTCTGACTCCCAAACTGCAGTGTTGTTCAAACTCCTGTTCATTCCCCAGCTGGTTTTCCAGCCTCCTGCCAACCCAATGACTCCTAATGTCCTTCTGACAAATTACCCTTTGTTTCAGTTAGCTGGAGTTGGACTATACTACTTGCAATCTAGAATTCCAACCAAGGTGCAGAGAAAGTGATTTCCAAATGCTGCTTCAGGGAAATGGAGAAAAAGGAAGCCAGGAAGGGCTTGCTTAACACCCATATAAGAGATTCCTCATTATTCATACTCTTCATATACTTTCCTATGCCAATCTTTTCTTGTTTTGTTTTGTTAAGCATGTTGCAAAGCTTGAACTCAACAACCCTGAGATCAAGACCTGAGCTGAGATCAAGAGCCACTTAACCCACTGAGCCACCCAGGCACACCAGCCTTTAATATTTTAAAAGGAAAGTTGGGATTTTACTTAGTTGAATATAAAAGAAAAACCGAAAGTAACAGTGTCTTAAACAAAATCAAGGTTTCTATTTCTCTCGTTAACAAGCAATCTGAAGCCAGGCAGTCCGGAGATGCTCTGGTGCCTCCATTTTGTCCTTGGGACCCCTACTTTGTCATCAGGCTTCTGTCTTTCTGCTTGACCATCCTCGCTCTTGGCTTCCATCCTCAAGGTCACTTTACGGCCTAAGATAGTGCTTGGAACTCTTGTCAGAGAAACCAAGCTGGCGGAAGAACGATGAAAGGCAGAAGGGCAGAAAAAAAGTTCCTTCCAGCTGAGTCAGCCCCTGTGAAGCAGTCCTCCCACACACTTGTGCTTGTATCTCATTGGCCTGAGCTCAGTCACACAGCCCTATCTACACACAAAGAAGTTGGGAATTAGTCTTTTGTTCTAGACAGCAATATGCCCAGCTAGAACTGAGAGTTCTTTAATTAAGGGGGAAAGCAACTGGCAGTCTCTACCACAAAATCTTTTACTTCCTCAGCAGAGACAAACTCATTGAAGGTCTGTTACACACAATGCAGGGCATTTCAGGGGTTTTCTATTTGTACCAGTGGAGCTGGTTGAGGAGCACATCAGTTAGAATGCCTTCAGCTGCCGAGCACCAGACTGGTTCAGTGGGGGGAGGATGAGACCCTAGATCTCAGAGCCATGACTTCGAGCCCCACATCTGCTGTAGAGAATACTTAAAGAAAAAAAAAAATGCCTTCAGCAGCAGGTAACAGAAACCCAACTCAAAGGACTTAAGCTATGAGGAAATATGCCTTCTCATATAATGAAGAGTCCGGAAGCTGACCTTCATTAATTAACTAGTCAGTTCATTAATATAATTAATATAGTGATTAAGTTAATAACAACTATATAATGTCGCTATTATATAGCAACAACAAGGAACAGAAAGA